GTGCCTCACTTCAGCCTGAGCGTCCATCTGGTCACAGGCGTGCAAGGGTCTCAGCTGACGGCCGGCGCCCGTGTGTTCATCTTGTCTTCCCAGTGCGTGTCAGTTCACATTCAGCATTTGCTGATAACCTGGTAACAGAGTGGTCTGGACTGAAAGGCAGGACGGTTGCAGGACTGGGAGAATGGTTTGTAATGGGGCTAAATGGAAATTGCTTTAATTGAAGTGAGGTTTTTTAAAAGATGTATTTATTTGAAAGGCAGAGTTACAGAGAAAAGGAGAGACAGAGAGATCTTCCACCTGCTGGTTCACTCTTCAGATGGCCACAATGGCCAGGGTTGTGCCAGGCTAAAGCCAGGAGCTTCTTCTGGGTCTCCCATGTGGATGGCAGGGGCCCACACACTTCAGCCATCTTCCTCTGCTTTTCCAAGGCCATTAACAGGGAGATGGATTGGAACTGGAACAGCCGTGTCGGATGCCGGCTTTGCAGGCAGAGGCTTTACCCGCTACCCCACAGCACCAGCTGCGGAAGTGTTTTAGGGAGGCAGAATTCAGGGGATGGCTGAAGCAAGGGAGCTCCATGAGCTGAGATCAGCCTGGGGCAGCAGGCGGCAACATGAGTGAGGTCTTGGGGGACATCTTGGGTGGAGTGGAGGGTGCAGACGACAGAGGCCTTGAACCGAGGCAGAACCCGGAGGTGCCCCCAGGGCAGTGAACCGGAGATCCACACGACCTGCTTGCTCTGTTCCCGATGTTCACGTTCTGAGCTCTCTTGCCACGCTGGCCTTTGTCTACCGAGACAGAAAGCACCGCATTGAAGACCAGTGCCTGTGACTTCACAGAGCGGCTGCTGGGTCCCTGGCCACACAGTGGTCGTGACTGCCATCGTGTGCTCCCGTGGCTGCGGGAGAATACTGAAGCCGGGCACATCCTGGAGAAAAGTTTATTTTGCGCACAGTTCCAGGGTTCAGCACAGCATGGCCCTCCAGGCGGACACTCGTCGGCATCCCCTCAGGGCACCTGCGCCTGCCGCGGGTGGGCCTTCCCTGTGCTGCCCCGAGCACCTGCTGCTCACCGCCCGTGAGATTTTGCTCCCTGCATCCTGGTCCCAGGACGTCCCACCTTCAGGCGTGTGGTCAGGATCCAGGAGGGGGGATCTTTGCTCAAACTCCTGATGGGCTGGGTCTGCAGGGGCAAAGCAGGTCTAGGGGAACCTGGGAGAGCAGACATTCAGGCCCTGGGGTGGGTGCTGGGCTGGGGAAGTCGCCGAGGGCTCCTGCCTCCTTCCAGGGAGCTCACCATGCGGGCACAGGGCCAGTGCGCACAGGCACGGAAGGCCCCAGAGGGGACATTACACAGGGTCCTGTGTGACGAAGGAGGGGACGAGGGGTCTCCTGTGTAATGTCCCCTCTGTCTACAGACACAGGGTCCTGTGTGACGAGGGGTCTCCTGTGTAATGTCCCCTCTGTCTGTAGACACAGGATGCCATGTGACAAGGGTGCTGATGAGGGATCTCCTATGTAATGTCCTCTCTGCCTGCAGACACAGGGTCCCGTGTGATGAGGGTCTCCTGTGTAATGTCCCCTCTGCCTGCAGACACAGGATGCCATGTGACGAGGGTGGGGATGAGGGTCTCCTGTGTGATGTCCCCTCTGCCTGCAGACACAGGGTCCCGTGTGACGAGGGTGGGGATGAGGGTCTCCTGTGTAATGTCCCCTCTGCCTGCAGACACAGGGTCCTGTGAGATGAGGGGTCTCCTGTGTAATGTCCCCTCTGTCTACAGACACAGGGTCCCGTGTGATGAGGGTCTCCTGTGTAATGTCCCCTCTTTCTATAGACACAGGGTCCTGTGTGACGAGGGTGGGGATGAGGGGTCTCCTGTGTAATGTCCCCTCTGCCTGCAGACACAGGGTCCCGTGTGACGAGGGGTCTCCTGTGTAATGTCCCCTCTGCCTGCAGACACAGGGTCCCGTGTGACGAGGGATCTCCTGTGTAATGTCCCCTCTGCCTGCAGACACAGGGTCCTGTGTGATGAGGGTCTCCTGTGTGATGTCCCCTCTGCCTGCAGACACAGGGTCCCGTGTGACGAGGGGTCTCCTGTGTAATGTCCCCTCTGCCTGCAGACACAGGGTCCCGTGTGATGAGGGTGGGGACGAGGGGTCTCCTGTGTAATGTCCCCTCTGCCTGCAGACACAGGGTCCTGTGTGATGAGGGTCTCCTGTGTGATGTCCCCTCTGCCTGCAGACACAGGGTCCCGTGTGACGAGGGGTCTCCTGTGTAATGTCCCTCTGCCTGCAGACACAGGGTCCCGTGTGATGAGGGTGGGGACGAGGGGTCTCCTGTGTAATGTCCCCTCTGCTTGCAGACACAGGATGCCATGTGACGAGGGTGGGGATGAGGGTCTCCTGTGTAATGTCCCTCTGCCTGCAGACACAGGGTCCCGTGTGATGAGGGTGGGGACGAGGGGTCTCCTGTGTAATGTCCCCTCTGCCTGCAGACACAGGGTCCTGTGTGACGAGGGTGGGGACAAGGGGTCTCCTGTGTAATGTCCCCTCTGCCTGCAGACACACAGGATGAAATGTGACAAGGCGTCCGGCATCATCGAGATGGTGATGGATCGCTTCACTATTGAGAATGAGGGCACCTACACCGTGCAGATTCACGATGGCAAAGCCAAAAACCAGTCTTCCCTGGTCCTCATCGGAGACGGTAGGCTGTGCTCGGTGTCACCGTGTCCCAGAAATACACGGCATTCAGCGGCCTTTGCCCCAGAGAAGTTGACACATATTTTTAATTTTTTCCTTTAAATGTGGAACGTAGCCTTCAGGAAGGTGCTGGAAGAGGCTGAGTTCCAAAGGAAAGAATTCCTCAGGAAGCAAGGTCAGTGACGGCGGTGCCTGGGGTCTCAGCTCACCTAGGCAGCCGCGGGAGCCGGGGGGACAGCAGGTGACCACGAGTGAGGTGTGCCTGGCTCAGCTGTGGGGCTGGGTCCTTCCCGTGCTCTGTGTTCCACCCGCGCCTGTGTGGGCTTGCTGCTTTCCCCTGGAAAGCCGCACCTCCGTTAGCTGCTCCCGTCCCAGGGAGGAGGCGCTGGGTGGAGCCGGGCAGCTGAGGTGACCAGCGCCCCGCGGCCTCCTCCTTACCCTGCTGGACACGGCGCTTCCCAAACATGCATTTCCTCTCGGCCCTCCCACACGTGACCTACCTGACGCCCCTCCGTCACTCCGCGAAGCGTGTGGCCCGGTGCAGGCTCTCCACAGACCACACCTGCTTAGTGAAACCTCATCTCCTGCCTGCCCCATACGACACACACACACTAGACACGCGTGTATACATAGCACGTACGCCGATGGGCCATGCACACATCTTACATAAGTGTACATATAATGCTACAGCATACACAGGCCATACGTGTGTATATGTAATTCATACAACACGTACTGTACACATGTGTATACATAACATCTGTGATACATGTGCACCATGCACACGTGCACACCTAACACCCAGAGCACACACATGCCTTCCACTGGTGCATTCCCATAACACGCGTGTGGATAACACCTGTGGAGTGCACTCACTCGTTTCACTTCTTCCTTCTCTTAAACTCGTTTTCCCTCCTCCTCAGGCCCTCATTTTGCTGAGTACCTGCACTGGGACGTCACAGAGGAGTGTGAGGTCCGGCTCATCTGTAAGGTGAGCCCAGAGCCCCCAGCAGGAGTCTCGCTGCCACTCGCGCTGGCGCCACCTCCCGGGTGCAGTGTGGGCGGGAGAGGTGCGGGCGTGCTCAGCTGGGCGGCTTCCAGGCGTCCTGGGCACGTCAGGGCTCAGCCACTCGGGCCAGTCCTTTCAGGGGGTCGGGCTGGGAGTCTGTGGAGGTTCCCTTCGCACAGTGAGCTCCAGGCCATGAGGATGCCACCTGGTCTCGGGAAATGGGAGGCGCGGCTCAGGGCCAAGGCGCTTCCAGAGTGTTCTCCTGACAAATCAGATACGCTTGATTATTGTTAAGCACAAAAGTCCGCCTTTTCGCTAAGGGTCCAGCAAAGCCCCTCCCCCATCCTAGCAGTGCTGAGATGGTGCGGTGAGCGTCCAGTGAGTCCTCGTCCCCCGGGGCTGTCTTCCTGCTGAGGGTGGTCCTGATCATGGCCACACCAGGTAGGCAGCGTTCGGCAGTTTCCCAGACCTCTGAGCGCCTTCTGCGTTATTTGCACATCCCCAGGTGCAGCCTCTGTGAGTGACCTTTCACACGCCCAAGGTCATGGCTGCAGGAGACTCGTTTGTCTTTCAGGTGCCAGGGTGAGGCCCGGCTCCTCAGCCGCAGGCATCCGGGAGAGGCTCGCCGTGTCAGAGCCCGTGCGTGCGGCTTCGCTCCTGCGTTTCCCGCACCCAGCCTAGTGCATACGGCTTCGCTCCTGCGTTTCCCGCACCCAGGCTAGCTCCTGTCTTGCAGGTTGCGAACACCAAGAAGGAGACGGTGTTCAAGTGGCTCAAGGACGACGTTCTGTACGAGACGGAGACGCCGCCCGACCTGGAGAAGGGCGTGTGCGAGCTGCTCATCCCGAAGGTATCGCGCGTGCACAGACGGCACTTCTGCACAGGCCTCCGTGTCTCCGCGCCCTCCCCTTTGCACCCGGCCTCCTCTGCCCAGGCCATGTCAGCACTCCCCGCGTGGAGGCCGTGCACCGGCTTCGTGTTAACAGGGCTGTGCTTTGTCCGCAGCTGTCCAAGAAGGACCACGGCGAGTACAAGGCGACCTTGAAGGACGAGAGAGGTCAGGACGCGAGCATCCTGGAAATAGCGGGCAAAGGTGAGGGGCCGCCGCCCGCCACGAGAGACGTACACTTCATCCACAGGGCGGGCCCGGGAAGCCCCGTGGCCCATGTCCCCGCCATGGTGCACACGCCTCCTCGCTGCTCACCTGCGAGGGAGCCTCTGTGGGAGCTCTGGGCGCATGCAGAGCTGTTCCGGGGTTTGTGTGCAATGTCACTGCCGCCCACGGCCGGAAGCCGCGGCTCACCCCGTAGCCAGTGTTGCTGCTGTGGCGGACGCCATTGGAGTGGTTCGGTTAAGCATTTGGTTGGATTTATGCCGAGCAGAGTGTTCTTGTTCTTGATTAGAAAGAGTGGCTTGGAGGGGTTTACCGTGCACAGAAGCCTTCTGTGGGTCAGCGTTGCCTTTTCAATGTTCCGCTCGTCCAGCGACCGTCAGTTTACTCAGCCGTCCAGGGTGCTGCTGTCTGTCGAGTTGCACGCACTAATGTCTCTCTCTTCCTCTCCAGTGTACGAGGACATGATCTTGGCCATGAGCAGAGTCTGTGGTAAGTGAGGGCTCCCGTGTCTCAGGTCACTTTGGTGCCAAGATTGCTGTTTCCTGAGATGGGCGCTAGCCGCTGAAGGGAGGAAGTGAATGGGCCAGCGCCAGTGGGGCCAGGGTCAAGGTGGGCAGTGTGGGCTGTGGCCGGTCCCGAGATGGCCTGGTTTTCTGCTGCTTCCCTGATGGGATTTCAAGGTGGCAGCTGCTCCTTAGTCCTTTTTTTTTTTATTTTTTTTACAATTTACTTATGTATTTGAAAGGCAGAGTTATAGAGAGCAAGAAAAAGAGACACAGAGAGAGGCCTTCCATCCACTGGCTCACTCCCCAAATGGCTGCAACAGCTGGGGCTGGGCCAGGCTGAAGCCAGGAGCCTGCAGCTCCATCTGGGTTGCCCATGTGGGTGGGAGGGGGTGGGAGGAGGTGGGAGGGGGTGGGAGGAGGTGAGGGGGGTAGGAGAGGGTGGGCGGGCCCAGGCATTTGGACCATCCTCTGCTGCTTTCCCGGGAGCATTAGCAGGAGCTGGATTGGAAGTGGTGCAGCCGGGACTAACACTGGCGCTCATATGGGATGTCAGTGCTGCCGGTGGGAGCCTAACCCTCCGGGGTCTGTGTTTCCCTCTGAGAAATCCGGTTCCAGTCTGCCTTTGGTTAGTCCTGGCGACTGCTTGGCACCTGATGCCGTTAGCCTGTTGGTTTCAGATGAGGATAGCAACAGTGAGTTCTTACACCCCTGGCTTTGTGCAGGAAACCGTCTTCCAGCCTTGTGAATTATCTCTCCCTTTGCATTTTCCTGTCTGTGGGAACTGTGGGAACGCAGATACTGGTGTTAACTGGACGGTAGCAGCTGGTTTTTGCATAGTGCTTTGCGCTACGGTTATGTGCTAGTCTTCCTGTGGGCTCTGGAGGGTACCTGGTTTGTGGGCCCAGCAGGGCTGGGTGGCTTCAGCAGGCCCCGGTCAGGGCCCCGGCCAGGGGCTTGCCTGCTGCCATGCACGCCTGGCATCCTCATGAGAAGCGCCTTGTGTCACGTTTTCACTGCTTTGTCCACGCAGCTCTGCACGTCTTTCGGCCTCTGCACGGTCCAGTGGAATGACCGCAGTTAGGGCTGTGATGTTCACGGTCACTGTGGCCGCATCTCCTGGGGACACACGTAGGCTGTGATGTTCACGGTCACTGTGGCCGCATCTCCTGGGGACACACGTAGGCTGTGATGTTCACGGTCACTGTGGCTGCATCTCCTGGGGACACACGTATGCTGTGATGCTCACGGTCACTGTGGGGCCACATCTCCTGGGGACACACGTAGGCTGTGATGTTTACGGTCACTGTGGCTGCCTCTCCTAGGGACACACGTAGGCTGTGATGCTCATGGTCACTGTGGGGCCACATCTCCTAGGGACACATGCACCACTTGGGAGGGGCCACACACGCTACACACAGGGCCACGTGTTGACAAACAGTTGCTCATGAGGTCTAGACAGAGTGAATGTGTACAGGAAGAGAGCAGGCTGGGTGGAAGACGGTGTTGTCGCTGTGTCCTAGTCACCGTGTCAGCTGCCCACAGCTTGCCCTGCCCTGCTGAGAGCCCCCGTGCCAGTGACTTACCTCACTCTTCTCCGGGAGGAAATCTGGGGTGGCCACATGTGCACACGGGCATCGCCTCACATCCTCAGACTCTGACACACTCAGGCATTCACACACTGACACGCTCACACTCATACACTCACACTCTCACACGAGCTCACTGACATGCACACCCATGAGCTCACACACTCTGACATGCTCACACATACACTCACACGAGCCCACACACTGACACGCTCACACTCATATACTCACTCTCACACATGAGCTCACTGACATGCACACCCATGAGCTCACACACTCGGGCATTCACACACTGATATGCTCACACTCATGCACTCACACACATGAGCTCACTGACACACACACTCATACTCATGCACACTGACATACACATACACTCATCACTCATGAGCTCACTGACACACTCATGAGCTCACACTCATACACACATTCGTCACTCACAAGCTCACTGACACACACTCATGAGCTTACACACACAGTCATCACTCAGCTCACAATGACACACATGCACTCTCACAATCACACTCATGCACTCACACATTTCCACACACACACTCTGACACACTTGTGCACCTGCCCATGTCCCCTTTGAGTCTCTTTCCCACAGTAGTGGCCGCTGTCTGGTTCACAGCTGTCCTTGGGTTGGTGGGGTCGGGGTGGCCACTGTCACCGGCTTCTCCGCTGGTGCCCGTGGAGTCCGCTGGCTGTTGTTGAAGTCTGGAACCCTGCAGTGTGTTCCCCATGGTCCCAGCCATGGCTGTGTGGCTTAGGAGCCTCAGCTGGGGCTGGGCTGCTTCTCTCCTCAGGGAAGGATCTGACGGCGTTCACACACAGGCCTATACAGGTGGGACCCACATCGGGGTGCCTGGCGGGCCTGTGCTGCCAGGAGAGGGGCCTTGGGTCACCCCGGCCATGTCTCCCTCCCCCTGCTGGACACTGGCCAGGCCTGTGACCCTGCACCGACCCCAGTGCACTCTGAAAGGCGAGCACTTCCCAAGCCTGGCCTTCTGTGACCACACCATTTCTGTCTCCGTGGCTGAGGCCATTCTGCTGCCTGCAGTGGGTCCTGTGGGGGCCGGTCGAAGCCCCTCCCCCTGGCCTTGCAATGAGAGCCACGAACCAGGGAGGAGAGGGTCAGGGGCCCTGAAAACTCACTTTCTGCTTCCTGCAGGCCCTTCAGTTGCGTTCCTCATGCTGGCAAATCTCAGTCCTCAGCTGAGGTCTGCCTGCCCTGCCTCGTCGGTCCCTCCTGGTCCTCTCCCCTGCACAGGGAGAGCAAGGGCTCCGGGGTTGGGGGAGAGGGGTGTGCCGTGTCCCCCGTGGCTGCACCTGCCCTGCCTCGTCAGTCCCTCCTGGTCCTCTCCCCTGCACAGGGAGAGCAAGGGCTCCGGGGTTGGGGGAGAGGGGTGTGCCGTGTCCCCCATGGCTGCACCTGCCCTGCCTCGTCAGTCTCTCCTGGTCCTCTCCCCTGCACAGGGAGAGCAAGGGCTCTGGTAGGGGGGAGGGGAGAGGGGCGTGCCATGCACCTGCCCCTGCTCTCCTGGAAGCTGCCTCCCATCCTGTACTTTCTTGCCTGGCTACTGCCATCTGCTCCCTGCTTCCCCTTGTTTTAGAACCACAGGCTCCACCGCTGAGGCCCCAGAACCTTCGTGGCTTGGGGTGTGTGGGGCTGCAGATGCTATGGGGGTGGGGGTGGGGGTATGTGTGTGACTTTCCTCGTAGACACAGCTGGGTCCTCCCGCGTGACATTCCCTAAAGAGGACGTCCCCACGGGGGACACTGGCTCAGCCTCGGCAGAGGAGGGAGCTGTACCTCTGGTGAGAGCAGGAGGAGCCAGGCACGGAAGGGCCGAGGCGTGGCTGCCCCTTCAGGAAGGGCCTGGCAGGGTTGCTGGCACATGCAGGGTAGGCAGGTGGCAGACGCTGTGGAGGAGAAGTGGGAATTACTCATGGGTACGTGGAGCTTGTTGGGTGGGAGGTGGGATCCTAGACACCAGGGCGTGGGGGTGGGTCTTGGCCGTGTTCTCCAGGATCCCCGCACTTCCTGTGCAGCGGCCCGAGCCGCATGGCATGGGTGGCTGCGTCTGAGAGGCCTCCAATGCCGTGAACAGCAGCTCAGGGCCTGCCCACGGGAGGAGGCTTTGTGGAGGAGGAAGCAGAGGCCACAGGTGTTGGCTGCAGATCACCCACCCACAGCCTCCTCTCCAGGGCTCACTGAGGGCCCCCCAGCACCGTGACTGACCGCTGTGGGCCCAGGAGCTGAGTGTGTAGGGCTGTCTGGGCTGTCCGTGGTGTGGACGTGTGGGTGCTGAGTGCGGCCCCGGCTGTCCCCCCGCGCCTGAGGCCTCTCTGTGTCCTGCAGGGATGTCGGCTTCTCCCCTGAAGATCCTCTGCACCCCGGAAGGGATCAGGCTGCAGTGTTTCATGAAGTACTTCACCGAGGAGATGAGAGTAAACTGGTACCACAAGTAAGTGCGGGGCCGCGGCCAGGAGCCGTGGCAGGGCCCAGGTCTGTAAGCTTGAGCAGCTGTGTGCACCGTGGGCTTGGGGCCAGGCAGCGCGGCACTGGGAGGACCCCCAGGAGACAGGACCAGGAGAAGGGAGTGGCCGGAGGCCTTGGAGATGGTTGCGGGGCTCGCGTGCGCCAGGGGTGGCCCGCGGCCTCCCTGGAGGGGAGCAGGGAGCAGGGGGACCACTCGTCAGAATCCCGCTCCTAGTTCCCATCAGGCAGCTTCCACCACGCCGGATTATCGGGGAAAGGAGCGGAGACAAGCCCGACGTAAGGCAGGCAAGGTCAGGTCTGTATGGCGAGTTTGTCGTGTCTCGTGCGTTCCCAGGTGGGAGTCACGACCCGTGGAGGGCCACTGTTTCACGTCCCTGCCACAGACGTGTACCTGACAGCTGAAAGCCGGGTCCCGTCGTTCCCAGGACGGGATCGTGGGGGACGGGCCTCCGATGGGGCGGGGACAGTGGCTTTCAGTTCATCTCCGCTCGCGCCCACATCGGGAGGACACCGTTTTGGTTTAAAGAGATTTATTTATTTATTTGAAAGCTAGAGTGGCAGAGAGGAGGAGGGAGAGATAGAGAGATCTCCCACCTGCTGATTCACTCTCCAAATGGTGCAACAGCCAGGGCTGGGTTCCATCCGGGTCTCCCACAGGCTGACAGACACCCTCGGACTTGAGCCATCAGCTGCCGCCTCTCAGCCACGTTAGTAAGAAGCTGCATGGGAAGTGGAGCGGCTGGGACTCAAACCAGTGCTCAAATCTGTGGGGTGCTGGCATTGCAGGTGGTGGCTTAACCCGCTGTCCACAGCTCCAGCCCCAGGAGGGCAGCACCTCAGGCCTGTCCCAACCTGTGCCCCAAGTTCCAATGGTGTCGACAACTCCCCAACCCCTGCTCCCCCATGAGCTACAGCCCAGGCCCCCTCTGCCACACCGTGGGTAGATTTATCTAGTCAGTATTTCCAAAGACAATCCTGGTGGTTGTGACATTTGCTTTAAAAAGCGCTGTTTTGTTGAAGCGAGTCTGTTAGTGAGTGAGTTGAGCTGCTTATCATTTTGGGGCTTTTTCCCCATTTAAATTTCAACGCACCGATTGTTTTTGTGTCACGTGTTATGACACGTAAGGTAATAAGACAGACTGGAGCCTTCCACGGCTGTGTCTTCAGTAGCCTGTGTCCTCCATCAGACAGAGTTGCTGCAGGTCCGGTTTGTTAGGCAAGTGTGCGGAAGGAAGCGTATTTCTGTGTAGAGAGAATTCCGGAAATAAGAGCTTCGAAGTCTGACGCTGGTGAGTCTTGTGAAATAACTGCTTATGAGGATTGCTTTCTTAAGACGGCGAGTAGATGTATTTTCTCGTGGGATCAGTGGGAAGCAGAATGGATTGCAACATCTCTGTGCAGCCCCGGTCCCACTCAGGCTGTGTGGCTGTGTGCCTGTGCCACGTTGTCATGGACACGGCCAGCCCCGGCAAGGGCCACCCTTCTTTAGCTTTGCCTGGCTTGTCACAGGCCTGCTCTGTGCTGGAGCTGGGGCACAGAGATCACACACACACACACACACACACACACACACACCTGCACCTGCACAGGCACACGTGCGTGTCAGTTTGTGTTGTGTTAGGGCCGGCGAGCTGATGCTCCGTGAGGAACATCTAATCTCACAGATGCCCTCGGGGTAGGTAGTCGTCATGTCTTGTAGATGTGAGGGGGACGCAAGCATCGTGTCCCAAACCTTATGGCCAGCGGGCGAGGGAACAGGGCTTTGGACTCTGGGAGGTCCAGTCCTAACCACTGCTCTTCCCAACATGCAGGGAGGGGACTGACCACAGACAGAGAGACGCGTCCCAGACCATGGACTGGGCTCCGAGATAGCTGGAGACGGAGCGGCGTGTTACTGCACATTCCTGACTGATGAACGTGGCATCATTTATGCTTTTGCAAAATAGACGTTATATAGCAAGATAGCTCAGAATGCAAAATTTGGGATTTTAGCCATTTGGGTGTCAGGTTTCCGTGGGATCATACAGCCATGCTGTTGTACAGCCCTCGGCACCTCCCTCTCCACTCCCCCACCCCCACCCCTCCCCCAGTGACCTCGGCCTGATGACTGTGAAACAGCATCACCCAGTCTGGGTCCTGTGTGGCCGGCCTGTTTCGCTTTGTGTAACATCTTCGGGTTCATCCTGTTGCCGTGTCAGAACTTCTGTCCTTGAGGCTGAAGGCTGTGCCATGGAATGGACAGGCTGTGCCATGCCTGGTTTATTACCTGCCCCTGACCCCTGGCTGCTGTCCCCTCCTGGCCATCGGGACCCGTGCTGCTGTGAGCGTGGGGTACTAAATGTGTCCCAGTGTTTGCTCTCGGTTCTCTGCGAGTGTCGAGGTCACGTTGTGTCGAGTGCATATTCAACAAGAAGGGTGTCACTTAGGGACGCTGGCATCGGCGAGTCAGCCCTGCAGGTGCCGTGCATGTGACACAGAGACCCGTGTCCCTCTCCTTTTCTAGAGACGCCAAGATCTCGTCCAGTGAGCACATGCGCATTGGGGGCAGTGAGGACATGGCCTGGCTGCAGATCTGCGAGCCCACGGAGAAGGACAAAGGGAAGTACACTTTTGAGATTTTCGATGGCAAAGACAACCACCAGCGCTCGCTCGACTTGTCGGGACAAGGTAAGAGCGGCCGCTCGGCATCCGGGGCTTCGGCCGGCTGATCCGCTCGGTGCTGCAGGAGGAGATCCAAGGCAGGCGGATCTTCCGATACTCCTGCGGAGAAAGGGGTTTGTGAAGACCCCTCCAGTGGGCAGCTGCCATGGTCACGAGCAGACGCACGGGGGGACGTCTGAGTGGGTACAGAAAGCTGGCTAGGAGGAACCTGCTGACCACGGGTGAAGACTCGTCCAGCGGGCAACCGCCATGGTCACGAGCAGATGCACGGGGGGACGTCTGAGTGGGCACAGAAAGCTGGCTAGGAGGAACCTGCTGACCACGGGTGAACCTTTCCTTGCAGCGTTCGACGAAGCCTTCGCAGAGTTCCAGCGGCTCAAGTAAGGGCCGCGTGCTCGGCTGTCATGGTGTAGACCTGCACGCCCATCTGTTACCGTGTAGACTGCACGTGGGGTGTTGCGGTGTAGACCTGTACATGAGGTGTTACCGTGTAGACCTGCACACTCATCTGTTACCGTGTAGACTGCACGTGGGGTGTCACGGTGTAGACCTGCACGCTCATCTGTTACCGTGTAGACTGCACGTGGGGTGTCATGGTGTAGACTGCACGCTCATCTGTTACCATGTAGACCTGCACGCTCATCTGTTACTGTGTACACTGCACGTGGGGTGTTACTGTGTAGACCGTACATGAGATGTCACAGTGTAGACCTGCACATGAGGTGTGGCTGTGTAGATGTGCACCCTAGGTTGTCACCGTGTAGACCTACACATGAGGTGTGGCTGTGTAGACATGTACCCCAGGTTGTCACAGTGTAGACCTGCACATGAGGTGTGACTGTGTAGATGTGTACCCAGGATGTCACCATGTAGACCTGCACATGAGGTGTGACTGTGTAGACATGTACCCCAGGCTGTCACCGTGTGGACCTGCACATTGGGTGTGACTGTGTAGACGTATACCCAGGTTGTCACCGTGTAGACCTGCACATGGGGTGTGACTGTGTAGACGTGTACCCAGGCTGTCACCGTGCAGACCTGCACATGGGGTGTGACTGTGTAGACATTACCCCAGGATGTCACCATGTAGACCTGCACATGAGGTGTGACTGTGTAGACGTGTACCCAGGCTGTCACGTGTAGACCTGCACTTTGGGTTCTTCTGTAGATTTTCACTTTCAGTTGCCGCTCTGTGGCTCTGCCCACTGTTACTGAGTCACTAGGGGGCCCAGGGGCCGTGGGGCTTGTTTGTTCAGGTGTAGGAAGGCCTGTGGATCCCCGGGTGAACTGAGTGCTGGAGTTGGTCCTGGGATACAAAGAGCCACTTAAGTACCTCAGTTGGTCGCAGGGCAGGTCTAGACCGGCAGTGCGTTTAAGGGTTAACTTCCTGAGTCGTAATAGCCTTGCATCGCTTTAGACGGTTAGATGACTAATGCGTGGTCGCGGCAAATTAGGAGCGACTAATTACAGTGTCACAGTAGCACACCACTCAGGGGCTGTTCGGAAGAATGACCTAGAATTCTGCAGCATGTGCCCGCGTTCGCGTGCCTGCCCCGGGAGCAGGGAGGGGCCTTGCCGGTCTCCCGGCCGTGGCTGTGGGGAGGGTGCAGAGAAGGAAGACGAAGCCGAGACTGACAGGTGGATGGGAAAGTCCGTGTGCCCTGGTGTGGGTGTGGCCTGTGGGTGCCGGGGCGGGGCCCTGGGGAGGCAGGGGCAGCGCCTCTCCCGTGGCGGGAACTGCGCCCTGCCCGGCCAGCGTCCCTGGCTGCGGGGCCTGTGTCAGTGGCGTTGGCCTCACACTCTTCTCACCTCTGCTCTCTGCCCCTTCTCCCTCAGGGCTGCGGCGTTCGCGGAGAAGAGTGAGTACAGCGCCCACCGTCTCGCTGGCCGCGTTCCGCGGGGTGGGGGTGGGGGTGGGGGCAGGGCCCACAACCTGCTACAGCACCCACTATCACGCTGGCTGCTTTCCGTGGGTGGGGCAGGGCCCACAGCCTGCGTGTCAAGCGGGAGCCATCTGAGCTCACGGCCCTCCCACACCTCTGCTGCTCCCCAGCTCTGGCCCCTCCTCACCCGGCCCCGCCCCCTCCTGCCCTGCACTGGCCCTCGACTGTGCCACCTGGAGCCTCTGCTTTCCCCAAGCCAGGGAGCACGCCGCGCCCCCGCCTCTGTCCCTGGCAGACCCTGACCCCGAGAGCCCAGCTCGCATCCCCCAGTCGCTCTAGGCTGCTTCACGCCCTGGGCCCCTGGCCTCTCCCACCACCGCAGGGGCCCCCTTCCCTTGGGCCCTCTCCTGGGTGCCCCACGGGGATGTCCCTGTCACTGCTTCCTCGGCTCAGTGGCTTTGCTCTGTTGCAGATCGCGGCAAGGTGATTGGCGGTTTGCCCGACGTGGTGACCATCATGGAAGGCAAGGTGAGAGCTGGCAGTGGGGCAGCACCGGGGTGGGGCTGGACACGGCACACTCGCTTGTCCTAGGGCCGAGCAGAGGGCCTGCGGGAGGGGGGCCCGTCCCACGTCCGCTGCCCCTCTGCAGAACAGCTGAGCTCACCTCCTGCTGTGCACTCCCTGTGGCACGGGGCATGGCCCAGCTCCCCGCCCGCTCGCTCACTGGCATCAACACACTGCGCCTCTGCACCCCGGGCCACACGTCGACTCGGGCGCCTCCACAGGGCCTGTGGCAAGGGATTCTGCTGGGCCCAGGCTCCCGCCTGGCTCTGGGGCCAAAGGGAGGAAGGACCAGGGAGAAGGAGGCCGCCCGCCCTGCGTGACGCGGTGGCCACCTGCTGGCAGTGTCATCTGTCACCTCCTTTGTAAAGTGTAAGACGGGCTCAGGCCAGCGGGAGCCTCCGCGTGCAGCTTGGGTTTGCGCCTGTCGTGGAGGTGCCGGTTCTGGTTCCTTCGCCGCACCCGGGACGGTAGCTCAGCCTCACGGGGACATAGATGCTTGGGCGAATGTTGCGAGGCCGAGACACGGAAATTCATGGAGCTTTCCCTCGGCGGCTGCGGAAGGCCCAGTGAGCCCCCGCAGAGGGCCAGTGTCACAGCGAACCGCCACCCAGAAGCCCGCACTGGTTCTGCTTTGTCACGGCCGAAAGCTGGTTTCAGCCAGACGTCCAGAGTGTGCTGACTGCGTCCTGCTAGCTGTGACACCGTGTCGCCCGAGGAACTGGCCGGGTGACCCCCTAAATCTGAATGTAAAGGAATTTTAGGGAGAGGCTGAGTGTGTGTATTGCGACTTGTAGAGCTTAACCGGCTTCCGATGCCTTTGAAACCGGAGTAAGACAGACAGCTCGGCGCTGGGTTTCCTTCTGAGCTCTCCCGTGGGCGCCTGTGGCTCGGGTGTGCCCGGCCCCATGCCCCTGGCCGCCTTCACGAGGGCGCCGCGGGCCACGGCAGAGCTCACACGCTGTTCCTCCTCCAGACCCTGAACCTGACCTGCACGGTGTTTGGGAACCCCGACCCCGAGGTGGTGTGGTTCAAGAACGACCAGGACATCGAGCTCAGCGAGCACTTCTCCGTGAAGGTGGAGCAGGCCAAGTACGTGAGCCTGACCATCAAGGGCGTGACCTCCGAGGACTCGGGCAAGTACAGCATCAATGTCAAGAACAAGTACGGCGGGGAGAAGATCGACGTCACCGTCAGCGTGTACAAGCACGGCGAGGCCATCCCCGAGGTGGCGCCGCCCCAGCAGGCCAAGCCCAAGCTCATCCCCGCGTCCGCCTCCGCCACGGCCCCGTAGGGCGTGGAGAGGCCCTGGTCCTGGTGCCGCGTGACAGCAGGCCACGGGCCACCGCCATGCTTCTAGGTTTTGCGTTTGATTTTCGTTTTACGCCCGTCTGTTTGCCCCAGGCTCTGTACTCATGGTTCCTGGTGGAACGCGGGGCCTGAGCTCAGCGCCCGGCTCATGGCCGCGTGGGGGCGACTCCGGGCCGTGCAGTGCGTGGCTGAGTGTGCCAAGCCGCCGTCCACCCCGGGCAGCTGCTAAGGCCCACAGTGGCCCTCGGAGCAGGCACTAGCCGGTCACACGTGTGTCTCCTGCTGTAGGCTAATAAAGCATCACAAGGCGCCGGGCTGTGGTGTCCCCAGCCCTCACTACGTCTGCCTCCTGTGTGTGTCGCTCTGCGCGGGGACAGCGCCTGCTGTGCCCGACTGGGCGGGCTCCCCGCACCTGCCCCAGGGACCCGCAGCATCACGGCCCTGCCACAGTGCATTTGGGTGAGGCCGGGGAAGGTCACCGGGGGTCACGTGGCGCACGTGGCAGCCTTGTACGGGAAGGGCGTGGGTGGGGCTCACTCGAAGCCATCGCAGCCGTAGCCGTGGGGGAAAAGTGATGCCTTGCCTAGGAGGGGGTCTCCTGGGAGGGTAGGACGTGTGCCACCCACCCCCTCGTCACAAAGAGGCTGACGTCGCTCCGGCATCGACATGCGTCTGGCTCTTACGTCTCACAGGTGCGTTGTGGCCCAGTGGAGAATGTTCTGTGTCTGCAGTCAGCCCGAGCCCAAGCGTGTGCTGTTTTCCGTTTCTCTAAGGTGCTGATTCAGATGCTGAGGTTTAGCCACGTCCCCGAGGGCCGGGACGCCGGGTGGGCGGGCTCGCAGAGCCGTGGTGTGAGTCTCATGGGCATTGTTCCTGCTCCCCCTCCTGTGTTGCACGGGGACCTCAGCTGGGTCAGCAGGAGTCCCCAGGGAAGGCGCCGTGTGTGGCGAAGCAGAATTCACTCATTTTCTAGGGCACACAGCTGTGCCCAGTGGGAAGGATTTAAGTGGCTGAGAATCTTAGAGCCATCCAGGATGTTCGTTCTTTTTAGGGCACTTTTAGTTCCAGAGTGAAACTAAGTCACAAGTACTGCCAGCAGGACCCTCCCCTATACATGCACAGCCCTCCCCCCCAAGAGGGGCGCTGCTATCATGGGAACCTACCTGGCACACCGTGTCCAAGGTTACGTGGGGCTCACTCCTGGCATTGGGCCTGGACAACACAGAGTGGCCTGCATCCCCCGTGCACAGCCCTGTAGAGCGGACCCATCCTCCCCTGCATACAGCATCGTCCCTGTGTACAGCATCATCCCCGTGTACACCATCGTCCCCGTGTACAGCATCGTCCCCGTGTACAGCATCGTCCCCGTGTACAGCATCGTCCCCGTGTACAGCATTGTCCCCGTGTACAGCATCGTCCCCGTGTACAGCATCGTCCCCGTGTACAGCATCCCCGTGTACAGCATCGTCCCCGTGTACAGCATCGTCCCCGTGTACAGCATCGTCCCCGTGTGCAGCATCATCTCCGTGTACAGCATCGTCCCCGTGTACAGCATCATCCCCGTGTACAGCAGACCCATAGTCCCCGTGTACAGCATCGTCCCCGTGTGCAGCAGACCCATAGTCCCCGTGTACAGCATCATCTCCGTGTACACCATCGTCCCCGTGTACAGCATCGTCCCCGTGTACAGCATCATCCCCGTGTACAGCATCGTCCCCGTGTACAGCATCATCTCCGTGTACAGCATCGTCCCCGTGTGCAGCATCGCCCCCGTGTACAGCATCGTCCCCGTGTACAGCATCGTCCCCGTGTGCAGCATCATCCCCGTGTGCAGCATCGTCCCCGTGTGCAGCATCGTCCCCGTGTGCAGCATCGTCCCGTGTGCAGCATCATCCCTGTGTACAGCATCGTCCCCGTGTACAGCATCATCCCCGTGTACAGCAGACCCATAGTCCCCGTGTACAGCATCGTCCCCGTGTGCAGCAGACCCATAGTCCCCGTGTACAGCATCATCCCCGTGTGCAGCATCATCTCCGTGTACAGCATTGTCCCCGTGTGCAGCATCGTCCTGTGTACAGCATCGTCCCCATGTACAGCATCATCTCCGTGTACAGCATTGTCCCCTGTGTACAGCATTGTCCCCGTGTGCAGCATCGTCCCCGTGTACAGCATCATCCCCGTGTACAGCATCATCCCCGTGTACAGCGTTGTCCCCGTGTACAGCATTGTCCCCGTGTACAGCATCATCTCCGTGTACAGCATCGTCCCCGTGTACAGCATTGTCCCCTGTCGCTCCCCCTCTTCGTGGAGGAGCAACACAGGACCCTGCGCTGTTCTTTTGTCTGCTCGGCCCTTCCCGGGTTTGCTGCTGGTTCTTCCCGGGTTGGCTACCATCCCTTCCACCTCCGTGGAAGGGCGGTTCCCCCTGCCACTTTCCCCACTTCCGCGGGGGAGCGGCACACCGCCGGCCGGCTCTCTCGGGGGCTGCTCAGGTGTTCCTTCAGATAGATGTTCCTCTTAGATGTCCCCGGTGCATGTTGTCTCTCTCCTCCTTCATAGTCCTCTTCCACCAACCCCAACTCTGCTACCCACACGACGAGTACGCTGCTCTCCTCCAATCAGGAGCAGGTCCTACAGTTTATTGGTTGAACTGGAGGCACCTGTGTAGAAGCTGTTTACTTCTCTCCCAGCGCCATATTGTGGGAGAGCAGATGCATAGAATAAGTCCTAATTCCAGTAACTTAGTCTAGTCTGGGTTGCTCCCCACAGATCCCCCTTTCTTTTTATTTTTTGGCGTTGATACGCGCCTGTCTTTGGTGTCCCGCGGCACACACTCTGCTCTGCTTACTAGAGTTGCCCACAGGTGCTCACAAGCCCTACCAATCAGGCAAACTGAGTCTGGGTCCTCTCTTCGCCATGTTGTGAGGAGGTTTTTAGGCGCTGATGCGTGCCTGTGTTCGGTGCCCTGCAGCGCATGCTCTGCTCCGCTAGAACTGCCTGCAGGTGCTTACAAGCCCTATCAATCAGGCAAACCGAATCCAAGCCCTCTCACTGTTTTCTTGTGGGGAGACTTATTGGTGTTGATAACGTGCCTGTCTTCGGTGACCTGCAGCTGCCCACAGGTGCTTATCGTCTTACTAATAAGGCAGACCGAATCCAAGCTCTCTCATTGCCATGTTGTGGGGAGGCCTTATTTTTCTCTATTTCTCTATCTCTGGGCATTCCTATTTCTCCCATTTTACTTCTATCTTCCAGCATTCCTATTTCTCTCATTTTACTTCTAAAACTTCTGTTTCTCTTATCCCTGTGGCATCCCGGCGCCCGCCCCGAGGCTGCTTCCTGGCTCTGCGCTGCTTCCCGGCTCTGAGCCTCTTCAGCCCGCGCTTCTCTCATCTGCGCAGCTTCCCGGCGCCCGCCCTGCGGTGGGCTCCCGGCTCTGCGCGGCTCGGCTTCGCGCGCTCCGCGGTCTCCACGCCCTTCGCGCCCGCACCACGGCCTTCACGCCAGCCCCGCGTTCCCTATCTATTCACGCCCTGTGCTCTCTCTGCACGCGGCGGCTTCCCGAATCACACAGCCCAGCTCACGTTTCCGCCACCGGCATTCAGTCCAAGTTCCCCGGGCTAACCTGGCGACTCAACCTAGCTCACGTCTGCGCCTTTCCGTTTGGCTTCCCGTCTTTTGCTCCCCGGGCTAATCTGACAGATTCCAACCTGGCGGCCCATGTCTCTGCCTCTGGTTCCAGATTTTCGCCTTTTGCTCCCCGGGCTGACTTGAAGAATCCCAAGATGGCTTACGTCTCCGCTTCAGCCTGCCCCCGCGGCTACATCCTCCCTAACATATTTTTCTCTACCCGGTATGTTTCCTAACTTTTCTTCCAACAATATTCCCCTCTCATTTTCTCCTGGCTTCTCCCCACAGTCCGTATCCAGTTTCTTATAGCTTTCACTTTCACTTTCAATCTCCTAGCTTCCCCGCCATAGTCCACATCCGAGTCTAAGTTTCTTCTTGCTTTCCCTTTCAATCCTAACTTCTTTCCCACAGTCCGTATCCAAGTCTATGCCTAGGCTTTCGATAGCTTCTTCCGGCACCTTTTCCGTCCGGCTTTTCCCTAGGCTCTTTGCTAGTCTCTCTCTCCAGTATTTTCCCACTTCTTCCCGCTTCTTCCCTCCTGGGTT